ATAAATACAAATACAAAATTTGTGAGTGACTTGCAGCAATTCATTGACTAACTTGCAACATATTTCAAGCAAATAATTAAAATAGTACTTTTTCACTTTTTAACGGAATTTCGTTTATTGCTGCTTCTGCTTTGGTCTTCAATTAGTTTAGCTTTTGCCAATAGCTATACATTTCCACACATACAAAAAAGCAATAAAAAAAGCTATGTTTATATAAGTGCCACAATTTGCTATAGTACAAGTGCTTTCCAAATTATACGATATTATAAGAAAGTCATTTATGCGAAAAGGTATATATAAATGATTTTTTAAGGGCATTTAACTTGATTTGACCTATGATCTATCAATGAACTCTTAAAATTTTTGGAGTTGCTTCTACTTTTATTAACATTGAAGACACACGCTTGTATAAATAGAAATGGTGCTTTTTTGCAAGTAATTTAAATTCCTCTCTCACTGAGCACTTGGGATTACTCGTGTGCAACTTTCTTTAATTGGAAATTATGACGAACGTGAGGTGGTGTGTTATCTAAAGTAAAGATTTTGTAAGAAAATAATGAAATTGCAAAAAACGCGATTTTGTAATTAATTTCAATATCGATTTATAAAAATATATATAACATAATATTATCATGTTAACATATACAATATTAAGTGAAGCAAAATCTTAATAATTAAATTATCTGTTAGGACGAAGGTGTTCTCTTTATAGTTGTCAACCTTTAAATTTCAAAAAGCACCAACAAACCGTTTTATGACGAAACAAACATTTAACGTGGAAATCAATAACTATATCACACTAACACTGTTATTTCATCTTATTGCATATCTATGAGTTTAAAAAAGCCACTATATTTTTATCGTATTAAATAGTATTGCTTCAGGTTCGTTGCTTAAGTCTTTTGTTTACCAGAATATGCCATGTCAGCCTGAAATAAACCCATTAAGCTAGCCATGAAGTTTGTAACACCCAGAAAAAACTTCGGAGAGGATATATAATTGAACTGATCAGCATTAAAAGCTGAGTCGATTTAGCCATGTCTGTCTGTCTGTCTAACCGTCCGGATGTCTATATATACGCGCACTAGCCCTTCAGTTTTTGAGGTATTGATCGATGAAATTTTACACATGTGCTTTTTTCCCCAAGAAGCTGCTCATTTATTGGAAGTGCCGATATCGAAACACTATAGCATATAGCTGCCATACAAACTGAACGATCGGAATCAAGATCATGTATGAAAAACTTTTTTATAAAAGAGCTAAATTTCAAATTTTTAACACTTATGATTATGAAATATGTTCCTGCATTACTAAGAATATATGTACATTATGCATTATCTGCCCGATGGTCAGAATAACTGTAACCGAAAGCATAAATTGTATGCACTGAACTTAAATCCAGCAGATAAGTTTAGCCCTATGTGTGGAAACATGAGGTGAATTCAATAAAAACATATTTTATGAACGATCTCCAGTTTGATTTTATCTTTATCAGCTTATTCATTTACCCCAATAGGATATATATTTATAAGAGATACATACGTAGTATCGCTAGGTACCAAATATTGAATCGCATAGCAACTAAAAACCAAATTTTGAACCTTTAACTTTCCATGAATTGTACTACTTTACAATATTCCTGAAGTCCAGGGCCTCGTTGTCATTACGTAAATCTTTAGCAAAATTAAAAAGGTAGGTAGGTTACACTATCACCACATAAGTAAAAATCGCGACTAGAAAAATGGCAAAGTTTATGGGTATGCCATATAAACATAAATCAAAAAAAGTACCGAAATTAGATACAAAAAGATTTCACAAATTTCTAATTGTTTACAATTTCGATTATTTAAAATTTAACATGCATTTAATTATACAGAGAAATTCATACGATGATTAGAACGTAACAACATGTCTACAAACACACATAAATATAAACTTGAGTGTATGTAGCGTTGTATAATCAAGTAGACGGTAACACACGCTCACATAAATATATATATAATATTATATACATACAAATTTATGTTAGTGTTTTCCTATAATTCGCTTAAGAAGTACTTAGCCACAGAAGAAAAATCAAGTTAAATTAAAACGTGTTTTGTTGTACTTTTCTTTAATTTTCACTGCACGAAACAAATTAAAATCAAACGGCTTGTAACTATAAAACATAATTTAAAAGCTTTGGTACAAGCATAACTACAGACTCACAGATAAAAATGTGCATATATGTTGAGGAATATTGTAAAAATTTGTTTACAAAAAGCCTTTTGTCTTTTGTCTTCCAGAAGTATTTTCACAAAGTTCACAGCAGATGGAAGTGCAAATAAGAGTGCAAGGCGAAAGAGCCGGTGGAATAGTGCGGTGAGAGCTGTTGTGCGGCGAGCGCGATCGCGCAGCCAGAGAGACGCAACCAACATTTCACTGCACTTCGTTACGGTACGCCTTTCACTTGAAAGTGGAAATTTTCACATGCAGACTATCAGTGTGCCACATTGGCCACCAGGCGCAGGCGCATTCGCCCGGGTGACTATTACAGTTTAACTGCCTAATTGAGTAACTAACAGGCAACTGCAGCGTAGCACAAGCTGATTGGTTTGTGCACTGACTGACCGACTGACTGACTGTATTTCGAACTGTATATATACATATATGTATACAAACACATACGCTTATATGCATGTGGCTGTTTGTGGCAGTGGAAGCGGATTGACAGCTGTACAGCAATGTGATCGGCTTGACCTCGCGTGGGTTAGGCTAATCGAAAGAAATGTGTCAACTAGTTGGCTAAGATGATAAGCGCAGTGTAACGGCATGTAAAATAGAGTAGCGTAAATAAATCTGGAATATTAGTGGCAAAATGCAATTTCCAGCACATTTACTCGAAACTTAATTAAGCTATAAAGATGTTGTCTGTGGCAGTTGCTTAGTTGGTACAGGGCATACGGTCACTTGTCTACTAACTTTCAGTCCCGAATATATGTATATATTTGTAAATATATGTATATAGTTACATATATGCTTAACTGTGTTAGCCTTTGGTTGCTGTTCTCACCTTTTGGGCGGGTAATAAAAGTCGCAATTTCAGTTTATTGCTCTGACCGAAACTAGTGTGCTCCAAATACCGCAGTAACTATAAAAAGTTGTGGTCACAAGACACCATCAAGTCATGGTCGGTGTTGAAGTTTTGTACGTCGTAGTAACTAAGAGACATAAACAATGAGTCTACTAAAAAAAGTAAAATTATTTTTTAAATAGAAAACAAAATCGTAATTCATAAAAAGTTGAACAAATGAGAAACGAGTTGAGAAAGTCAAGCGGGAATGATAATAACAACATAAAATACTAGCGAGACGAGTTGTCCGGTTAGCTGATGTTTAAGCTTCTATAAACACATACTCAATCATATACTCGTATATGTAGGTGCTGGCTTTCAGCTCATCACTGCTGTTCAAACGGTTTGAAAACCTAAACGGATATTTCAATGAAAATGCTTTGGCGGGAAAATTTTAAGCCTCAAATATGCATTTACACTCACAAAATCTAAAAAAACTGAATAAATCAATTGAGATGGTCGGTCCCATTGACGATAAAACACGACAACGTTTCCTTAAAAATTTTGTAATAAAAACAAAAAAAATACATTTAAAATATTTGTTTGCGTGTTTTTGAATTGAGAATTGCCTTTTTTATTTTAAACCATAATTGAAAATGTCTTACTTCATGTTGATGAAAATGTGTAAAAAGATTCTAATCCCAAATATATAATTAAGAATTCTTTATATAATATATTTCTTACCTTAATTTTTATTTACAACTTAATATTTTGTTTACTTTCCGATATACTATTCTAATTTTCCTTCATCCTTATCAACGAAACGTCGAAAAAGATTTGTTTGTGTGTGTTAAGGGATTCCGTTTCTTTCGAATAAAAATTATTAAAGTAGAAATAGTTTCGAATTTATGCGGTTAGCAAAACCTAGAAAAATTTGAATCGAGTTCGTTCCTTAAGTCTTTTGTTTAAATATGGAAATTGTGGTTTTCACTTAGAGAAAACGAGAAGGTGGCCTGCTGTGTGGAATAATTAAAAGAATAGTAGTTAATAAAAAACCAGGTCATAACATATAATTCAGATAAAATTGCAAAATTTAAAGAAACCATAAGCGCTTTTCAAATTTTTAAAATGTTCTCAATAAAATTGTCTGCTTTGCATAATTGAATAGACCTTTATGACCTTTAGTTAAAAAAAAATGATTTTAACAAGAAACCCAGCAGTTCTTTCTTTACGAAAATATACATATATACAAGAATATGCCACGCGTGTACCCTTTTGGGAGTTATTTTAAAAGCTCACAGCTGAAAAATCATTTCTAGCGTTCACCATCCAATGTCGACAGTTAATTAACTTGTTTGACTTATAGATCTTTTTAGATGATTTACTGTCTTCAGAAAAGACTGCAAATAATTGGCAATATAAAGGGTGTGCCATTTGACATTTAACTTGCTTCTTTCATTTACATTTTCAATTTGGCATTTTTTGCATTACTCAGCAACCTGCGCTTGCTCCTTTTGTCCCAAATACAAAACTAATTTCTTTGTGCGGAAAGCACTCTGCCGCGGCACTTTTGTAGTTATAAGCTTTTCTCAGCGTTTTCATTGCATTTAACAACGTTTTTTCTTGTAAATTATTTTATTTACTCGCTAAAAAAGAAAACAACATTTATAACAAGACAAACTTTTTAAACGTACCGCTACGGTTCAGCTGAGTTCACTTCAGGTGAAGTTCATGTGAAAGCACTCAGCTGCATGTATGACCGTCTCTTTAATATGGATACATGTGTAGATTCGAACACAAACACATGTGCATTCATTCACTAAAGTGTGCAAACCTCTGACTAAAATGATAATATTTTTTTTATATGTATGTATAAAATAGCTAAATACATATTTGTGCATAGTCGAAAATTTCTCATTTTATTTTCATTATTTTCACACTCGCACAGATACCGAGACAAAGACATCGACGCGCCCCTAAGTTTGCTGTCATCGCCGCCGTAACGCATACGGATCGTAACATAACGTGCTAAACTGAAGTTAACGTGCGCTTCCAAACGCCTCTACGTCCCTGCGATCTTTCGCTCATTGCCCAAACAGTTGTTCTGCGAGTGAGTGTGTGAAGTGATAGCTCATACAACGCCGTAAACACAACAAACAACCAAGCAAACAACTCAACAAACTGCCTTAAAGACATAAAATCCTACGAGCAACACCGAAATAGTCAGAGTAGCATTACCGCTAGCTGCAAACATTTGTTGAACATTAAAAAACAACACACGAGGAAATATTACTTTGGTGCAGTAGAAGCAGCAACCGTGGCCGTAGCGGCAGTGTGCGCATCTCGATATGGCGTACACACGACAACAACCTGCTCGAAATGCTTTTACGGTTAAGCGAGTCTTAGTGGTAAGTGAATTCTACCAGCTTTATTGCTTGCTATTAAACTTTTATGTGTGTATGTAGTTTGTTTACAGGCTAATATTGTGTACGCAATCAATAGTTCTGTGAGTAATGCTTTTGATGTGTGTGCGTGTGTATATGCTACCCGCTTGTTTGTAAAGATAATTTAAGCTGTTTTCTAAATTTATTTTGGGAAAATGGATTTTCCGAGAATATAAAAAATAGCTAAAATAGCCAGACATTTAAACAAATTAAAGCTAAAGTTCTTTATCTAAATACTACATTTTAGTGAGGTTAGAAAATTCTATTTTATTAGCAGTTTAATCAGAATTTCAACCGAATATTCATAATAAGGAAATTTGTTAAAGAAGCTTAAAATTAGTATAACACAAGTATGTGTATATATCAAAGTCTGTTTGGCATAACTTGCTACGGCCAAAAATATTTTCACCACTTTTTTATGCAGTTTACTGAAAATGTGAATTTAGAGTGAGTTTGAAAAATGTCAACAATCATTAGCATGTAAAAGAAATTCAAAATATATGTGTTCTAAAATGCTTGTCTTGGAGAAGTTAGAAGGGCGAATATACGAACTATAGGAATCTATTTAGCTTATAAAGAATTTAGGCAAAACTCATACTCGTTTTCGGCATAAGTTAGCCAATATTTATAAGAGAAGTGGCTTGTCTTGTCGGATGAAACACAAAGTTTTGAGGAAAAATCCATGTTTGTAAGAGTAAATGCATTTTTCCATGGTGATTAAGCTTAGACGCATAAATAATGTTTGCGTTAAGAAAATAGAAACATTTGCTAAAAATTTATTAGAATGGTGTTTCCAGTGAAAATAATATAACCAAATCTTGATTTAAGACAATATTCACGTAAACATACTTGATAATATTACAATATTATTACCATACATACAACTATTTTTAAAAACCAGTGCACCATATTCGAATTGTTAAAATTATTCGAATTTTAGTCCTAAACCTTATGGCTTTTATACTATACGTTTTTTATACGAGTATATAAGCATGCCTTTAATCGATGAAATAGAACGTAATTTTTATTTAAAATGTATATAGTCAATTGAATGATTTTCGTATATCTGGCAAATCTCTTGCTAACATCTTAAATATCTCAATGAAGAGTAGACTGAAACTTTTATATAGTAAATCTCTAGAGGACAAAAATAAACTTCGTTATATAGGAAACTAGTAATATAAAAGTTTGTTTGAAAAGAGTGAGTTTTTATGTACAGTTGTATTTAAAATAATAAATACAGTGGTCGTACAATATAACGAATTTTATGATGTACTCGTACACTTAATTCGTAAAATCGAGAAGTTCTTTAAATCAAGTGATTTTTTTTTGTTTATAATAAAACTATATTTTGAAATAAATAACGAAATACATTCATCCAAGTATATATAGGTTACGAGTAGCATTTTCAAAGGTCTCCGGGTTTGATAGTTTCCAATAGCTAAAAATGTTCAACTTGATTTATTGTTCTTTCTTCCTTGTGCACATGCTTCTTCAGTAAGAACGTATGTGTTTTCAGGAATCAATTTTCAATAAATACTTCTTTCAACTGCATTAAAAATTGTGTAATGGAAGAGGTTATTATATTTAATTACGTTCCCACAAGTATTAGGTATCAACGTTGAGTCTTAAACCATTTGTAGATTGCCCGCTCCATTCATGCAATGCGTTTTATGAACGTATTCCGTGATTTCATTTTTTTATAGTACCCAACGACTTTGAAACTTCATATTTTGCGAAAATGGTCTTTACTGAAAGCTCGTTAATGGAATCAACCATAAACTTTAGTTTATTTTCCAATGATAAACACTTTCAATTTGACGTTGTTCTTTAAAAACAAAAAAAAAAAATATAATCAAGCGCACGAAAAAAGTATTTTGAACGAACTGATTTAAATTTAATTCAAAGTCAATGAAAACTTAGAATCAGTTTGTCTTTGACCTTCTTTTGATGCGCCGTGCAGTTATTAACGAAAAGTAAAATATTTCTGTTTTGAGAATTAAAATTTCTGTCCAGCTGCAAAAGTCATTTAAAGTAAATTTTACTTGTTATCCATGTTTTTTTTTCTGAAATAACAATTTATATTTAAAGAGTTTATGTCCCTCATCCCTGCTGTTTTTTTGATTCCAATAATAAGTAATTTAAGTTTTTACGACCTTGTTATGGCAGTTGTGATAATATTTGATTCATAGATTTTTATTATTTTCAATTTTAATTTTTTCCTTTTATTTATCAAGAAATAAGAATGGTAACAAAAATTCGTTAGAAAAATGCGAATAGAAAAATTCGCGATAAGGAAACTCAGAGAGCAAAACATACGGTAAATATAATGGAATTGCACTATTCTGCAAAACTTTTCGTTAAAAAGAAAACTTCGTTGTACACAAGTTCGAATGTGTATGTGTGTTCAAGTAAAATTATTCTACTTTGTTTCTATATATCCTCAATTTATTTGAGTAGGGGCAATACCCGAAGGCATTTGAAAAAATTAATTTTTTTAGATAGGAACATTTAGTAAGTAGTAAATTATTGCAAAATTTCAAAAGGAGTTCTTAAAAAGTGTAGAAGATATGCAACTTGAAAGTGATTGCGGTTTCTCTTTACCGCATAAGAGGTTATGGCTTAGAGGTTATGGTCTTACTGGCGTAAGAGGTTATGTAAAAGAAATACAAAATTTTACAAAGAGAGCCAAACTTTCGAAGGGTAATTTTTATGGTTAATGTTCGAATTTCCTGAACATCGTAATCTATCTGGGATAAAAAACCGTTTTGAGTGAAATAATGTTGGATTTTATGGTTTCAGATAAAAATTGCGGTGAAGATCTTTTACCAAAGTCAATTAATTTTTGACTTTTCATAACTAAGTTTAATTTTATTTCACCGATCATCACCTACATATTACATACATTTTGGGCTTTTTGTACTCTCGCAACTTGTTGCTACAGAGTATAATAGTTTTGTTCACCTAACGGTTGTTTGTATCACCTAAAACTAATCGAGTTAGATATAGGGTTATGTATATATAAATGATCAGGATGAAGAGAACAGTTGAATTCCGGGTGACTGTCTGTCCTTCCGTCCGTCCATCCGTAACTTGAGTAAAAATTGAGATATCTTTATTAAACTTGGTACACATGTTTCTTGGTCTTTATGAAACTTGGTACACATGTTTCTTGGTACCGTAAGACGGTTGGTATTGCAGATGGGCGTAATCGGACAACTGCCACGCCCACAAAACGCCATTAATCAAAAACAAATAAATTGCCATAACTAAGCTCCACAACAAGATACAAGACTCTTATTTGGTATACAGGATACCATTAGGGAGGGGCATCTGCAGTTAAATTTTTTTTTTAAGTGGGCGTGGTCCCGTCACCTAATACGTTTAATGTGCATATCTCCTATACCACTGAAGCTATAATAACAAAATTCACTGGGAACAAATGTGTTTAGCATCTCTATCGACGGTGAAAATGGATGAAATCGGGTGACAACCACGCCCACTCCCCATATAACACCATTTTCAATTCCATCTGATTCTTTCACTTTCCACTATGCATATCAAGCAACAATGATTATATCGGGGTAAAACTTTGCGTGAATAATACGTTTAAAGTATGCCACCTTGTGACCAAAAACTATGTAAAGTGAACCAAAACTGTTCAAGCCCCTAGGTACTGAATATGTGGACCCCAGTGCCTATAGTTGACTTTTTACCGAAAATATCGGTCAACATAGAACAAGGCGGCAAGATCCACAAAGAAATCTTAAACGAATTTACCATTTGACTTTGCGAGAGTATAAAATGTTCGGTTACATCCGAACTTAGCTCTTCTTTACTTGTTACATTTACATTTATACATATACAATACATATGTATATAATACTTATTCACAATTCTTGGAACTGCTGCGTAACTTTGTGTCAGATATGTGTCTATATAATAAGTTTAACCCACTGTCAAAAATTCGGGTTGTCAGTATTTCTCTTGTCACTTGTTTGTTCTCAAAATTTAATTGTGTTTTTACTGTATTTTAAGACTAAGTTGCCTCACTAGTTTGTAGAAATTTTCTTGTTGGTTTTAATTTACCGATTTTTCGCCTATTTTCGCGCATCTTTCTCGCCGCAAACTGTTTTTAATCTGTCTCACACGCATTCAAACTTTTGTTTTGTTGTGCTTGGTTTTATAACGCGCTTTTAAATCCACTTAAGCGTAGCAAATGGATTTGCACAAAGTTCACAGCATGAGCACACCTCTTAGCCACAATTTCGTTTCAGCCATTCATCTGCCGGCCGGCAAAACCCCATTCATTCAACATGCCGGCATCATTTCTATTCAAGCAAAAGTTCTCAATACGCAGCATTCTTTGTACTCACTGCTCACTGCGCAACATTAACAATTCATGTGCACTTCTTTCCTTCTGATTGCGTGTAAAGATATTTTTATAAATGTGTGTATGTACTAAAACTTCCATATTCTTTTCATTTTTTCACATACATTTTTTGTTTAAAAATCCATTTAAGCATTAAAGTGGAATCTAAAAAAGTGACCTCAAAATTATTACAACAAAATAATTTGGAATGAAAGTAATGTTAGTGGTGGGAATTTGGCATATCCACCCAGAAAAATACATCCGGTATTGGGTACAAGCGGAAATAAATGAGATCTAAACGTATACATGTAATTGGATATTTATTATAATCGATTATAAACTATTACAAATCATTTAAAATTAAAAAAGAAAATTAAATTAAATGAAGAAATTAATGTCTCTAGACACCCAGAAAAGGGTATAACAAGATTATTCATAGAACATGCTGAACAAAAAGGAAGCTCCATGTAAAAGGATAAAATATCACATTATTTAAACATTCCTTTGCAACTAATCGCGAATTACTCCCGCACTTGTCGCATTTTTTCCTCCATTCATCCTTGCAGGACAAAAACTGGTCCAAGTGGTTTTT